AAAAATGAAAGGAAGCCCCTCACAGCTCCCAGTGTGAGTTGCAATACAGCACCATCTTCACACTGACTTCATCCTGGCTGTCCTAGTAGAACAGGATTCTGGTACAGTTCCAAGGGGGAAGGCCCTCTCTTTTCCAGTCCTAACCCTAACTCTAACCTTAACCCTAGCCATAGCTGTTGCTGTGTGTGCAGCAGAAGACAGGAATTTTAGCTCCCACTGTGTGATAGGTTGCAGCCCTGTGCCAACCCTAACTCACTCCAGCCTGGCAGGATTCTTGTAGAATTTCAGTTCAGAACACCTGACCTTTAACCCTAAGCCTGTGTTTCCTAACTGCTCACAACCATTTTTGACAGAGACGAGTGAATCCAACCCCTAGCTCCCTGTGTGTGCGTTGATTGCTGCATGCTGATCACAGCGCTAACCCTAGCTGTCTAGCTCAAAATTCAGATGGAAACCCTGATCTCGAAACTCAGTTCCTGAACTCTAACCCCAACTCTAAGAAGCCATGGAAACAAACTAAGAATAGTTGCCACAGTTCCTAAAGGCTTTTTTTTTTCTCCTTAGTCTTGATTACTACTGCTATCAAGCAGCTAGTTTGTTTATAGTAGGCATTTTCATTCCAACTTTTTCTATGTGACCATGAATCCCAGCATGAATGTGAAGTGACAGAAGAGAGAAGCTTTGGATAATGTAGACTGGGGCAACAGAAGCAGAAGTTTGTAGTAAGTGACTGAAGGAACAGGTCCAGCTGAGTAGACTCATGAAGTCTGGGAGACTTGTGTATGTGAAGTCTGATTTACTAAGTTTTTCTTCATTGTGACACACCGTATAACACAAACACGCCTCAGGCTTCAGGAATAAATTTTTTTTTTTTTTGCTTTTAATATGTGACCCCTCTGCCATTCTACCCGGAGTGCATTGCCTCTGAGAGCTGTCTCTATAGGGTGGTCTGCAGCTTAGTCAGGAGGGACTTGATCTCATATCCTGTAACCTGCAAGAGCTACGTTGGTGATACTTGCCCACAGGCACTTGGATCAGGTCTTTCTAATGTTTCTAATTTGCTTGGAAGATGAATAGCCCTATATCCTGGCTATTAAGTAATTTAAAATCCTTACTGAGAAATACATGATCTCAGAGTATCTAATTTCCCATGAATAATTTTTCTAAATTTCAGAACATTTCCTGGAGTATTAGTGTTTCAGAAAAGTTTTAGGATATTTGGAATGTTTGAACCTTTTCCCCCCCAAACTCTTTATGTTTCTTCCTTTCTTCTTTATGGCTTTAGGTTCACTTTTGCCATTAGCTATGAGTGAAGAGAGTCCTCTGCTTGCCTGGCATTTGTTGAAAAATTGGGGCCTTAGAGACTGCTTGACCTCTAGTTTGTCCTGTGAGCATGTCTAAGGTGTACTCACCGTAATAAATCCCAAAGACAGCCGCTGCTCCAACAAATGCTCCCAGGAATTGTGCTAATATGTAAATTGGTAATTTGGTCCATTTTAATCTTCCAGTCACGCACATGGCTAATGAAACTGCTGGGTTTATGTGACCACCTGAAAAATAAATCACAAAATAAGTCATATGGATGACTCGGATACATGGGAATAGGTGAAGTATTTGTAAAAGTGTGGGCACTTTCTAGCATGAGACTGTGTGCATGGTTTCCTGGAGCTTATTTTGCAACTAAATGCTGAATGCAATTAAATTGAAACAAACTGGATTAAATATGAAATAAAAAACATGAGAAAGAAAATACCCACTAAGATCCATCTTCCCTTCTGGCATTTGAAGACTCTGCTATGTACCAGACTGCAGTCTTACAGATCGTAGGTCTATGGATAACTTTATTAGAAAAAGTGTAAAACTGATCTATCATTTGTGGTGGAAGAGTCCATCATTCTGCAAGAAGTCTCTCTCTTCAAGGGCTTTGGCTTTTGATTTGCTTTTCAGGGATGAGTGGGGCACCAGGATACTCCTTTATCTTAGCAAACCTGTATTAAGACTGAGGATTATTATTGACTTGAGTGAAAACTGGACTACCCTCAGGGAAAGATGTTTATATTCCTGCAATCTTCGGACTGCAGAAAAACTGAATTCTCATAAACATAAAATAGTGTTAGGGCTGCCCAGCTTCATGCTGATTGCTGGTGATCTATTCCCAGATGAAATCCAGGAGGCAGCAGTACATAGATCCTAATTACATTTTTTCATCAATTTCTTAGACCCTCCAGAAAAGTCCTTGATAAGGAAGCTGAAGAAGTAGCTGTAACTAATGGGAGACTTCTCTTTCCTGTGCCATTTCCTTCTTTCGTATTTTGGAGTTGTTACACTTAGATTCTGACAAGGAAGAGACTGAATAATTCCAGCACCACTGGAATTCATTTCATTATCAGGATTGAAAATGTATTTATTATTATGCCATGCACTAGTGATTTGCCTCAGCATCTTTTATTAACATGGAAAACAGTGTTGAATGCTTTTGGAAAACTTATTCTTTTTTTTTTTTTTCTGCAAATATGTAGTCTCTCCCTAAGAAATACAGATTTCTTCCAAATTAATAGATGAAAGTACTCCACAGTGAAAATACAATAAACCTAAGTTTTGCAAGCACATAGCAGATCCATTGCTTCATGTCCAAGTAAAGTCATATTCCAGCCTGCATGGTTATTAGAAAAATGGATGGCCTTTGTATTTAATAACATAACTAAAGGAGGGTGACCTTTGTCTGTCAAAGGATAGTGATGGAGAAAGGGCCTCTATGTACAGTTTCAATGTTTGCCTACACTTCAGGTCACTGAGTCATCATCTTATGAAATCTAGGCACCTTTGATATATAATGAACTGACAAACACAGATAACAAGCTGGATAAAACCTCCTTTGTATCATTTCCAAAACACTGAGCTAGTAGCATCAGTTCTGAATTAATTTTGAATTCCTCTTGTGTTTCAAATTCTTCAGCACAGAGTAAATGGATGGATGGCACCTGATTCAACAGCCTTTCACAGGAATTTTGATAGATTGTTGTCTTTTTTCTTTGCTCTGGCTGAAATGAATCATTTTCCTTTCTTTCAACACCTGTTATAGTTTCCCACCTGTATGTAATGCTGGGTGATTATGATGGCCAAGACAAGTCATAATAATACTTGAAATGTCTGATTAACATTATATCTAGAAAGGGAAAGTATGGTTGAAGGCTCTCATCTTGATGTAGGGGAATTAATACATTCTTGCTTCTTGTGCCATTAGCACTGTTCTGATGAAAAATTTAAATTGGCAACTTTGGAAAATAGGTTGCCCATTCATTTGTAGTTACAGCAGTCAAAATTTAAGTTTCTCAGAAAGGTTAAGTTTGAAGAAGTGGTGGGAAATTACCTAGGCATTGAAGAAAATGAGATGGAGATAAAATGAGAAAGGGAAATTTCTTAGGTAAAAGAGCTCAAATTCACTCAGTGTCCAGCCTATATATTTTATGCTACTATGGATTTAGAATTTCATATGGAGCTGATGTAAAATATTTTAGCAGTATTTAGCAATGAGACTTTCGGATGCCGAAGAGCCATAGAATTTGCTAGCAGGACTATATAAGAAGTAGTATTCTAAAATGTCCACCAGTTATCAGATGCTGGATTGTCACTGAAATATCTGTTTCTCCTCTTTCACAGGAAAAGTGCTCTGCATGCAGAATTCTTTGTTACGAGAATAGCAGAGGAAGCACAATCCTGCAACCTCTTCAGCCACTCTGCCCTGCTGGAATTGAACTGTAAGCTTCTGGATAATAGAGGTGGATATCCCTTAAAGATGCAAATGTTTCCAGGTTATTTTTGTGATACTGCTTTAGAAATTTTTAAATGCCTGTGTATAAACATGTATGCATATGTTGCAGTTAAAGGTTGCTCAGATAATAAGAATATACTGCCAAATTAAATTTGCATGCTATTAATGTCACTGGCAGTAACAGGACTGCTTCTTTCATAGCACCTTGGCATTTTCTAAAGTAAACTTAGAAATGTTCTTATCTACATTGTTTTTGTAAAAGAATTTGTACTCTTTGTAAAGGAAAAGAAAAATAGTTGCAGTAATTTCTGGTAGAGCAACTAATTAAGATGGGCCAGGTGTAGCTAGAGCCCAAGTGAACATTATGAACTTTTCATGAACGGTCTTTTTTTTTTTTCCTGTCTATAATCTGCTGCTTCTGAGAATAAGCAAACTGACTTACCTTTTAAATTAGGGGCAGGGAGCAGATCTGCTATTTTACTGTATGTTGTAGGACATGGAGAGATGTGACTGTGCTCTGTAAGCCTGAACTCTGCTAGTTAGACACATAGTTAGGTCTTTCTACCTTCTGTCTAGTTGGCGACTGCTGCATTCTGTAGGCTTCTCTGAGTCGTTTCCCTCGTGTGGTTCCTGTGCTGTCCAGGATCATTTCTGTTCACAGAAATGTTTAAGCCAGTGCCATGCAGAATTCTGGTTTACAAGAACTGATTATCATAAAGCACAGAGGTCTGCCAAGGGTTACATGCTGCAGCTCAGATCAGAATTTGGTGGAAGAATTTATTAAACACCAGAAAGAGAAGAAAACAAGAAGAACACAAAGGGTTTAGTAGAGAAACTCAGATACAGATACCACTGTAATGGTGCTTGCTGTTACTAGATAGATAATTGTTTATACCATGAAATGGAAGTAATTTAATAAGTTTTTTTCAAAACTGTGACAAAGAATTATTCAATTATGCAGGAAAAAAGGTCACTTACCAGAAACGCCCCCAGACACATACACTGCCATGGTGACGGCCACTGCAAATCCAACAGACACTGTCATGGGCCCACCATGGGCACCTCGGCTGAGGACAGCCTGCCCCACACACCCACATCCAAGCGCCTGTAGTTTAAAAGATACAAGTAAAATCATGAGCGTATATGTGAAATGTTATTGGTTAGTTTGTAACTCTTGTTGCTGTCCAGTTATAGCTGAAAATGTTAAGGGTTGAAAAAAATGCAATGATTAGAAACTACAGGCATATGTGCTATTAATGCATTTACTGCAGTAAACATTTGCTCTTCATTTCCCTTGCACTGTGATCAGGAAGAAAGTCTGCTAATGAGGACTGGAGTATTAATAATTATGTGGTAAATGGGAATCATACTCTAAACAGCAAGAAAGTGTTTATGACACTTTATTTTCTTGCTTTAGAAATTAGTGAAACATTTGCTGCTCATCTCTCCTTGTATTTGATGCACATGGTTCTTGTTTGCTCTCTCCCCAGAAAGCACTCTTCAGCTACAGTGCTGATACAGCTCAGAACATGGAGCCTGCACAAGATCTCACAGCAACAAATCTCTGCATCTGAAAGTGGACAGGGAGTTAATACTGTGCGGTAAGTTACAAATTCCAGATTATTTTTATAGACAAGCAAAATATTATTTAAAAAGTCATGAAAGATGGATCAAAAAGGTTCTAATAACTCATAGTAAAACCCTGGAAAGAGAAAACTGTGGAGATTGTAGTATGTGTTACATGTGTAGTATGTGTAGTATGTGTAGTATGTGTCAGCATTATGCTGACTTGGTATTGTATATTGTTCTATCAAAATACAAACTGCTAGACCTTAATATCATTTATTTAAAATGGACACCACAACAAAGGAGAGAGAAAGTTGGAAATGCTGGAATGATTCTGAGCGATGTAGCAAGAATCAAGGCTTAGGGCAACAGAAGTGAAAATCTAAGAGGTTCTTTGGTCTGAGAGAGAAGACAAGACAGGACAAATCCTGGAGAAATCCGGCAAATAATGTTTGTAGCTTCATAGTTCAAACGGATTAAAAAATAAGTGGTTACTTATGCTCCTAAGGAATTTATTTTCCCTTTGCTGTCCTCAGCTGGCTTTCTGCCAGTGCCAAGAGCAGGGCATGTTCCGGGGAGAAGAGCCGCTTTGGCGGTGGAGCATGACTGAAGGTCCAGCTCGGACTAGCCTAGTGCTGTTCTGCGGTGTGCTGATAGTCAAGGAGTTTCAGGCTGCTTTAGTGGCTCTGCAGCTTGAAGAATTAAGTGGGAATATCTGAACAGTTCACATTGGAGTATTCTCAGCAGATTTAAAGTAACTTCCTTTTGTTACTCGTTCTCTTCATAATGATGTTCAGCAAAGCATTTAAATGTGTGCTTAAGATCACCTTTATTCAGCTTTAAATCTTGTGCTTAGCTTCAAGCATGTCCTATTGAAGTCAGTAGGAAAGATTTTCAAAGGCAAAAAGGGCCTTTAGTTTAAGATAGGCTAGCTGGTCCACTGCTGCTGAAAATAAATTCGCATCTTTGAAAATCGCTTTAAATCTCTGCCTAAGCATTGTTGAATAAGGACCCAGCACCCTACCAAAAGTTCCAAATAATAACTGTAGTGTGATTTATATTTTTATTTATTTTTCTTCCTTACAAGTATAACATGATCTCAATCCAACAATCTGCGATGTGACTGAGTTTACCTTGAGCAACTTTTGTTTCTTTGATTTTAATATGGATATTTTCTCTCCTCCTCTTCATGGTGCATGGCAATCTGATTTTTCTTCTTTTCATAAAATCATTCCATCTTAACCAATGCAGTTGCTTTTATTAAGCTCTTCACTTCAGTATTTTTCCATTACTGTGTGTCACCAATGACTGTATTGTAGATACGTTTGCTTATTTGAATACTTATATGTAGTTCTTTGTGAAATACTTATTTTCAGTTGCAAAGCAGTTCCGTTCAGAGACTATGCAATGTAACAGGAAAACTTCTGCCTTAGAAATAGACTGTTACCCAAAAAGGTTTGACGACAAGTAAATCCTGCTAGAATAGGTTAAATTTAAACAGGCAAAATCACACGTTTGATTCCATTATTTCTCCAAGAGTTTTAAGTAATATAGAAGTGTGATAGAAAAACTCTCAGCAAAATCACAGTCTTAACCAGTTTGGCAATGCAGACAAAGTTTCTGGTGTAAAAGTACCCTGAGACTCTGTGTCATATACCCAGGTGCAGTTCTTGCCTTGCGGACATAACCATGCAAGCAAGCAAAACATCGTATGGTGCCAAAGTATTACAGATGTCAGGATACATTACAGGTAGAGTTGTGTAAGGTGTAGTTTAGTGGACTGCATAATTGGAAGCTACAAGACAGATATTCCAAGCAGCAGTCAGCTACAGTGCATTGGATGACATATATATCTATGCTGTGCACTTTCTCGTTTCTGTTAGTATGACATACCTAATGATTAGAATGCTAAGCACAAATGTGCATACAGATATTATAAAAACATAACAAAATACATTTTAATTGTTCACAGATGCAGTTAGTTGTTTTTTAAACTTCACATAGAACAATTCTACTCATCATATATTTATATGTTAACTCATGGGAAGAATGGGTATCCTGTTTTTTTTTTATAAAGTTTATAAAGCACAAGGCTAGAGGAGATGGAAGTAGTGTGCTCTAATCTTCACTTTCCTAACTCCTCAACGTTGGTAGTCCTGAAATTGCATGAGGCAAGATGTAGTGAAAAGCAAGGCCCAGGCATGGAGCCGGCTCAGCAGGCTGGTCTGGGGCGCTGCGTGCCCTGGCACAAGTGCAGTTTGCATTCACAGTTTGTATGTAGGCGTGGAGTTAGACTTGCCGGTGTGCGCATGTGTTCTGAAATGGCATGGACAGAATTTTGCAGATTGAAAAAAAAATGCTATTCTTTTGAATATATTACACTTTTCCTTAAGGATGGTGAAAAAAAGGAGAACAGGACCAGGGAAGATGGGTATAGAAGAGGATAAGGGACAGCAACCTCATAAAAATTCATGGGAAGTGGAAAATAACTGCCAGAGGGGAGCTATAGCCTTCCTTCCCTGATGACTGCACCTAAGGAATATCATACAGTTACAGCTATGTAGTTCTCTTGCATTACAGCTGCCAGTCACAAAGAAATAGGCAATTCCAGGAGCTCTGCTCTGTGCTAACCAGTCTTAGAAGCTGAGTCTGCACGCAGGCAGCACGCAGGCCGGCTTGCAGCGGCTGCTGCCTTGGTGGATATTGCTGAACGAGCGCCCGCTCAGGCAGTGACTGAGCCCCGGGAATCACGGGCACAGTCTGTGCGTGCCCGATCGCTGGGGAGGGGACTGCCAACTAAGCCTGCAAGTTTGGACCATGCCACGGTGATATTTTCTCCACCTAATTTCTGTTTAAGAAAGAGATTTTTTTTTTCTCATACATATTGAAGCTACCTCAACATAACTGGAAATACTCTCTAATCATGGAATTACATGAGCAGCAGTTTAAAACTTGTGAATCTCTGTTTGGCTGAGTTAAAACCAACTACATAATTAAGCAGTATCTAAATACTCTAAGTTTCTAGTCCAGGAGGATCACACAGATTTGATAGGAATTTAATTTAGGGTAAAATATAGTCAAATATCCTTATTTTATGTTTCCAGGTTTTCATCGTCTTAGTAATTGTCTGTAACCTGATATGCTTAAATCTATAGAAGTAGCTTCAGTGATGACTTTTTGTTCACAAAGTAATAAAATTATTGTCATAAATAACATGTAGTTTGTCTGGGGATAGAATAGCTGTCTGCACATTCTCTACCAGAAAAACTTGCTTCATGGACATTAGAGCCTTTTCTTTGTCTTGGGTAATAAGGCTAATGCTAGGAAAGGGAAACAAGTGGCCTCCTGTGAGCATAATGTGCTCATAATTCCTTGACAGGTTGCAGAACTAACTTTCTGTTGCTCTCGTCAGAGAGACTAAAGATTTCTGTGCCTCCATCTGTGCTCTTTTCAGGATTTTTGTCAATTTGTGTAATAGCATTCTTCAGTATAAATAGGATTTCCTGCAAGATCCAAATCTAGCATTTTAGAGAATCTGTTTCTCTACATAACCTTTAAAGCCTTGGGAGTCTTGACACACATGGCTTATATAAAAAAGGCCTCTGCGTATCAAACAGATTTAGTGGCAGTGTGTGTTCATAGCCATCCCTTCTTACTGCAACGCCAAATTTCCTGCTTTTTAGCGATGTGGAGACAATGAGGAGTGTTTTGGTACATCTTGTACATCACCAGCTGCCAAGTGACATGTCCCCAAGGGCAGAGGATTGCTCTGTGGTCACTGAGCTGATGATGCCCTGCTGGAGGAAAGTAATTAAGCATGAAATATTTTTTGGATTAGAATCCAGAGACAGAAGTTACAAAAAAAAAACCCCATATTTTAATTGTAAACTGAACAGTTTTAATCCAGAAACATTAGACAAACAGGTTCAGGATTCTATTTCAGTGTTTTTTCAGGGCAGAGCCAGGGTCGCTTGTGCAAATCCCCAAGGCCGCTGCGCTTGGCAGCGTTGTGCCAGGCAGCCCTCATCGGGGGAGAGGGCAGCCCCAGCGCTTTCCTCGCGCGCTGCCAGCCGGGGCCGCCGCCGCCTCGCACAGACTGTCCTGCGGCCGGCCGCCTGCCCCACTACACTTGCTTAGTGTGAGAGTCCTGCTGGCCCGAAGTCACCTCTTCTTGCAGGGCACACGCAGAAGGGTGTCGCAGGGACACCTGCAGCGTGACGGAGACTCGGCCGTGCCACCACTGAGGGGAACCAGGGGGCTTTCCAAGCAACAGCCAGGCTCAGTGCTGCCGGCTCAGCCCTTGCACGCAGCGATGCTGTAGGAGAGCCAAAGGCCTTCGGGCCTGGGGGAAGTAGTTGCATTTGCCCTTCACTGCAGTGGGGTATCTCCAAGCAAAATTGCCTATGAAAACTTAGAGAGTTTTCTGTGTTTCTCTTCATTTTTGTGGTTTTGTTTTTTGTGTTTTCCCCCCTCTCCCCTATTAACATTTCCAAATACGGTCAATTTGGGTGTTGCTTATAAAAGTTTTCAGATAAAATG